ATGAAGTATATATCTCATTTATACCCAAACTCATAAAGATCATATTTATATGGGGACTTCTGGTGAGGCCATGGTGAGCTAGACGTCCCTGCCAAAGGGGGATGGCATTTATGGCCAAGATGAGCGGCTGCATGCTGGATCCTGGCCGGTCAAATCTCTCCATAGAAAGGAGAGATCATGAGATTGCTCATGTGCACTCCAAACAGCTGCTCCTTATGAGTAGACTGCAGGCATTAAGGTTTTTGTGATTGCTTATAAGTCAAGAGGCTGGGAGTCAAGGGGAAATTCCATCTATGCTCACAGTCATAATGCAGCCTTTATGAACAAAAAGCTCAGCTGAGCCTCATTTCTTAATCACCTTTGGAATTACTTTTTACTGTTTTTGAAACAGCAAGTTTTTTATCGCATTTACTGGGTGAGTTTCCTTCTTCACAAAAGAAGTTTTAAATACAAGTTTAAGGATTTAGAAAAATATTATTTTTTGGAATAAACAGCAAAAGGATGTTTAGAGTGTTGATTCTGGAAAGCTAAAAATGGACTAAAGGTCCAGATGGATTTGAAATAAGAATTTGAAATTAATTATAAGAATCCTTCCTGTGGGAAACTGAGGTTTTTTGGTTTTTTGAAAAAAAATGATAAGATGGGACTTTGAATGTTGGACACTAGAAGGAACCAGAAGAAACTAAATATTACAATTAAAGGAGAAGAATACTCAGATTTGACACTCTAATACAGAATGGAGCAAAACACTTTAATAGTGGATGTTTTTATGGAGATTTGTGAACTATGGACTCAGAAATTAATTTTAAGAATATCTAGCATCATAGATGGATGGTATGCAAATGTTACAGGAGAGGAACAAGCTGTACCAGATTAGACTGAAATTTATTTGAATGTGGATTTAAACATGACAAGTTACAAGAATGATATGGAAAAATAGGATATACTGGGTATACAAATGAAACCGGTTGATGTCTTGAAAAAGGACAAGGACATGCAAGTATCAAACCAGAACAGTGATTTGGATAACTTGTTTTTACTGGATTTACAAAAGTGACCTATTAAAGTTTTGAAGGATTTGCTGAGAGGAGACAAAGAGTAGATAAAAAGAAATCAAGTTTGAGGACATTATTTGAAGAGATTAAATGCCAAGATTGTTAAAAGTACAGGAAAGGAATATCCAGTTGGCTTATTTGATTAAGGTTAAAATAGTTATATGTAAACTAAAATATGTAGTTATCTCCAGTAGCCCTTAATGGACCTAGGAATGAATGACAAGGCTTTAAGATTTTGTTTATAGTTAAGAGATAAGATAGGGGACACGGTGGCGCAGCGGCTTAATGACGCTGAAAGTTGCTGGCCAGAAATGGTCGACACTTCAGCGGTTTGAGCCCAGCCTTCGCGTAG